AGAGAGAGTTAGATATAGGCTTGATGACTTTAAGTGCTCAGTGGACGCAGTTTCATGTTTAAACGGTCCTGTTTGGGTGAGTTAATGGTGTTTAAAGAAGTCCAGACAGAAGGCCACAAAAGTTCCAGCAGAGGTCACAGTGTCGTCCAGCTGAGACACATGCCTCAAACCTCATTCTCAGAGAGGAGCATTCACTGATAAACATTCACTGACTGTGTGCATGTGTCTGTGTGTCTGTGTGATTGTGTGCTTACATGGAATTGCCCAGCATCACCACAAAGAAGTGTTTTTGTCCAAATCTTGATGTCATCCAACATTTCTGATAATCTCAACATTCTTCTTCCTTCCAATTTTTCAGAACATAATGATTTATTACCGTAATACTTCCTGCTGTACAGGTAACCCAGTAGCGCTGGACAGTAATAAAACATATGGTAGGATCATGGCACCAGACGATATTGAAGTTAGCACTGAAAATTTAATGACCCTATGCTTCCTGTGCACTGCTACTCTGTTAAAACAACGGCACTGACCACTGGCACTGGAACTGTGCTTTTTCCACTGGCCATCAGTTCAGTATCAAATGTTCTAGTTCTTCGTTATTTGGTGCCTGCTCCAGACTGGGAAAAAAAGGACCTCATGGTACTGAAAGGTGTTATCCTGCATCTTCGGTAACATTTAAAGCTGACGCCAACAATAATTTAGTGGATTTAGTGAATTCTCTACTCATCTAGGTCAAGATAAAGTTCTATTACATCAGCAATAGACACAAGAATGTAAGCTAGAAATAAAGAGTTCAATAAGGTGATATAAGCCAGTTATGAATATAACGCTAATGTTATGAGCATGTTAGCGGTCACAGAGTGTTTCTGGTCATTTCTTCACATTTCACAGACAAAAAACAGTGTTTGATTCCACACATGATTCTGTGTTGCTGCATACATTTTTACATCAACCAGTGAGTTATGCTAACTAGCAAGCAAGACCGTTAATTAGCCAAATTAGACATTTTCAAATGGCTATTATGATAGTTCTTCTCAAGCAGGAGGAAAATGAACAAAAACTAAAACTGTAAGGCCTGTTGGTTTACAATTGGGTCAGTTCTTGTTTTTAACTGTGCAGTGGAAAAACAGCCGCCCCTAAAGAACTGCAAAACAAGAGAGGTCGACAATAAAGAGAGAGAACAGAACTATCAGCACAAAAAGCACAAGCACTAAAACAGGAGAAGCAGTGGAGGATCAGGCCACGGCTGGAGACTGGCACGTTTTTTCTCTTCATTGTTGACTGCTGGTGCAGCAGCAAGGCTGGCCTGGGGAACACACAGCCGCTCGCCTACTCCCCTACAGCTGGCCTTAATTACACACACCGAGCCTGCTGCTATTGGATGAGGCCTCAGCAGGCTGACACACGCACACACAGCCGGTCTGCACTATACACACACGCACGCACGTGTACTCACAGCTTCGATTTACTGGCCGACACACTTGTGTGCAATATCTGCCCCTCCAACAGACATACACACACACACACACACACACAGACGCACACACACACACAGCTGCGTATTCCTGCGCTCGCATATTCCTCCACTCACGTTTTAATGAGTAAGTCACTGAAGTGACAGTTTGGATTTTTTCCTTTAGCCCTTAGCTTATAACCACCAATTAGCACTGTGCAAAATATGTGCTTTAATCACACACTTGCCTCATCTGCATCGAGTCATCAAGTAATCTCAGTCTCACTTATGTTAGTGATGGAGAATCAATTCCAAAAGAAACGATTCTTCGACTCCAACATGTCTGGGAGTCAAGGTAGACTTTTGGCCAACGACTCTGAGAATCAAAATGCTTGGAGTCGACTCTTCGACTCTTTTCTGTTTTTCATCATAAATGACTCAAGGGACATTTTGATGAAAGTGTGTGTAATATAATAAGAGTCAGTCTGTTTAATTACCAGCCTTTATGCCAATGCTGCTCACTAGCCACTGTAAGCAAAAACTCTGGTCACAAAAGTGTCTTAAATGTGTTCTGCACCGCTCTGCATGAGTTCCAATGATTAGAAACAGTACAAGGAACAAAACAGAACCCCCCCCAAAAAAATATTTTTCCCAGAACGCTGTGGAAATTAAGCTGAAGTTGACTTCTGATTTGCCAACTTCTTATTCAAATTTTCCATTCCACCTTAAATGGTGCCGCAGTTACATTTTGGTGCTGGCACACTATTAAGACAACTGGTGCACCATTTAAAACGGAACGGAAATGTCAGATAAGAAGCTGGTGAATACAAAGCCAACTTCAGCCTGTGGAAAGAGGAACAAACTAACATCCAACTGCTCCAGAATGAAAACTTATTTCCTTTTCAAAGAACTGAAAAAGACCTCGAAAGTGGTTCCTTTTCAAAAGAATTATGATTACAGTTATGATTTTCTCGGTACATCACTCTGAATTTCCCCTCGTCCTCAGTGCATGAAATAGGCTGATGGTAAGAAGGTGTTAAAAATATTAGACAACCGTAATCATTTGTCCAGCTACTGGATACTACTTGGTATAATTTAAAAATTTTTATCATATCACTACAATCTGTATTAAAAAATTGGGTAACCTATGCATAAGACGGTTTAATCTCTGCTGTATACTTTTATCATCAGCTCTGGTGCTGTCTTGGTTAAAATTAAGTAGAGTCAAGGAGAAAGCCCAGAGTCATGCATCACTCGCTCATGTGGTTTTTCCATAAAAATGGACAAAATTATAAAAAAAGTTCAGCCTCAAAATGGCTGCTACTGCTTATTTCAGCTGTACAATGCATTTTTCAATATACATGGTAAGACAATGTACTGTCATACACTATCAGATATTACATGAGCAAGTCTATCTGAGATTACTTAACAAGTCGGCATGACTTCATCTGTGGTAAGCGTGTGATAATTTAGGCATGCTGTTTGCATGACGCTAATTGGTGGGGTATAAGCTTCCATTACTTGTTAGCTATATTAGTCTTGTAGCACCAAACTTCAGACATTTTACCAAACTGTAACTTTGAGCTATCGTTTTGCCTTCTTTAATGAACAAGAGCAGGACTACTGAAAGCAGTATCTGTGCACTGTAACCCCATTCAAAAACAAGCATCTATAATAGCAGGATCCTCCAAATGAAGTCTTGTGAGCGGAACCCCACTGCAGGCTAAGAATCCATGGCTGGCTGGATGCCACCAAGCAGAGAATTGCCCATTGATCTAATATGCACCAGCAGCAGCTCTATCACATGCAAAGAGAAGAACTCCAGTTGTGCTGTTCTTAGGAGCGCTGCAGCTCTAACTGTCTTCAAGAAGCACTTCTTTGAGCGAGAAAAAGACAAAAGAAGCTCTTTTCGATTAAGAGCTGAATTATAGTCGCTACAGTGAAACAGAGATAAAAATCCTCATGCCTTTGGATGTTTTATGACTTCTTAGAAGTTTAAGGGAGAGAGCTGTGCACGGGTGAAGGACGTTCATATCCAGAGGAGAAGAGTGAGAGAGTTTTTGAAATTCACCAGCAGCTATTTCTGCTCTGATAAGAAGAGCACAGAGAGAAAGTGTGGAGCAGCAGAAATGAAATGAGAAGAAGAAGAAGAAAATCACAGCATGCACATAAATATATACACCATTTCCATCATATTTGTAGATATGATGTAATATCTGGTTTGACTAATCAGTGCTTCACTATATTCAATCACACGTGTTGGTGATGGAATTGAACAAATCTAGGTGATGACTGAAGACATCGAGGAGACATGTGGACGCAAACTTTGTCCTTCAAGCTCACAAGGTATCATGTATACTTTTCAGAAAACAAAAATGTTACTTTTTACTGCATTTATGCTTATTTCCAATCCATTCCAATGACATATGGTATATGAGTTCTATAGGAAACCCAGAGGGAAGATTCTGACTTCATGAGCTACAGCAAAGAACAAGAGAAGTTCTGCATAAACTGCTCCCAATCTGGTTGAGTGAATAGCTACATTAGCTGTCAAACCAACCATGAAACACAGCTCACTCACACAATATAACTGCTTTTTTGATAACATTAATTATAGATTAACATTATTATAACATTATTATAGATAGAGCTAAGAAGCAATTGGTCAATGCTAGCTAGTTAGTGAGTGAGTTTACATGCACTTAATGATCTAATGACTGCAGAAAATCAGGTTTTGTCAACAATCCGCGTTTACATGTACTTGGGTAGTAAGATAATGGGAAAACTCCGGATCTACACGAGTCAGGCAATAATTGGATTTCTGCTTTGCCAATAAACTCACAGAATAATACATGATGTAAACGTAATGTAAAACTCAAACAGGTGCTGTGTTAAATGTTGCTTGCTACTGAGAAACTGAGAAAAATGAAAGAAATCTGAGTAAGAGCACACAGGCACTGCAACACCCGATTACTTGTTAAATTCAGCTCTCTTTATTTAGAAACAGAGAGAGAGAGAGAGAGAGAGAGAGAGAGAAAGAGAGAGAGAGAGAAAGAGGGTAAGAGAGAGAAAGGGAGAGAGAGAGAGAGGAAGAGAGAGAGAGAAATAATAGTACTGACTGAGGCTAAGGTGTTTGCAAAAACTGAACATTTAACACGTTTTGAATCAAGAAGGCTAAAAGTATATCACCAACCCTGAACAAACCTAATAAAGTATTGATTAGCCAAACCCAAGTCCCTGACCGACTGGACCAGATGGACCAGGGGTGGGACAGCTTACTGGATACAGGTTAGAACTAAATACTGTAGGAAACTAGCTCTCCAGGACCAGGGCTAGACACCGCAGATTTACTGTATTAATTATTGTATTCATATTATATGTATTTATTGTAATACTAGTGTTTTCTGGCAAAATAAATGCTTACTGCCAAATGAAATAGTTTTTAGCTCAACTGCGCACATACACACACACACACTTCCCTCCTCCTCCTCTTCCTCTCTCTCTCTCCACAGAACTTCACTGTTGTAGTGGGCTAGCGGCTTACTTGAACTGCTGGTGCTCCCTGGACGAGCGGATTTTGGAGGAGAATCTCTCGGCCAGTTTCTCCAGGCTGCGGGAATACTCCAGCTGAATCTCTGCCTTGCGGCGGAAAAACTCCTGCAGGTCTTGCAGCAGCTGGATCCGAGACTCCGACTGCTGCTCCAGACACTTAAACTGCTCCACCAGCTGATTACGGATCTCTGACACAAAACAAACACACATGTACAAACATGTTAGCATCATCAGAACAGCACAACTCCTCAACAGGATACTGATGTTCAAGAGGTTTCATATCACTGCATCCTTTTATATCGGTTACTGTCAGGGGTATAAAAATCTGACCTCACAATGGCTTAATTGGTGTGATTTGATTCGATTCAATTAGATTCCTTAGAAAACAATTCAGTGTATCATGAAATCTCAAATTTTACTATAATTGGAGTCTACTATTTTGGTACAATTCAGAATTATTTTTTCAATAATAAGACTAAGGCTGGGTATCATCCAAACCTTTTCCATACCAATACTGATATCTTGACTTCAGTAATGATTCCTCAATGATACTATTTTAATCAACAAACCCAAAGTAGGTGTGGCTTATCAAGAAGCTCTTACATTAAGTACATGTATACAGCATGCATCCAATCAGCAGTCTAGATTCTGGAATAAGCATTCCTATTTGCTCACTGATGCTGATTAGACAGAATACTAAAATAATGTATATTGAATGACATGGAATTCTTTGATTTTGAGTAGTAGTTTATTCGGTACCATAAAAGTATGTATTTTCAATATCCAGCCCTACTGAAGACACAAAAGACTGGAGGAGCTATTTTTGCTACAGTGGAATAAAGACAATAAAAACAATAAAAAAGTTTCTGTTTTTTTAAGCACACTTACTTAAAAAGTGACATATTGCAACCAAAATGAAACCAAATCAATATTTACTTCTTTGATTAAACTTTTTACTTACTGCATACTATCAAAGTCCTTCTACATGTTCTATGAATCTATAGTGGGAAGCTCTTGGAGACTAAGAGGATCCTCAGTCCGTCAGTGCAAGGAGCAGCCTGCAGTCTATGTTCACGGCTTCTATTCATTCTTTCTTTTCTTTTTTCTTTTTTTGGAATGTGATCTGCCTACTTCCCCTCACCCCTCACCCCCTGCACCCCACACTCAGTGATGGCTAGGGAGCGCAGTCAGATTTGGATAGAGGTATATTTTAGAGGCACTCAGTATTACAAGTCCACCCATCCTACCCTCCCAGAGAGAGCAACAGCATTTATGCTCTCTTGGACTCCCTGCTATGGATGGCTGTGGCACAAATACATCTATTTTACAAGAAAATCAAATCTTCTATTGCAGATCGATGGCCTTCCTAAAAGGCTTGTTGCTTCCTCAAAAGGAAGAATGTTCTAAAGTGGCTTGACAAGCTATTAAAAAGAAAAGCCAACATCAGTGGATTCAGGTTGTACAGCCAGTCGCATCCCCAGAGCCAACAGTGCCTAATGTGTCAAAACAGAACTCTTTCATGAGCCATTTCAAAGCTGTTTGTGCCGCTTCAAACAGCACTGCGCCTGTTTACTTCCTCTAAGGTTGACAGAGAAATTAGGCATGTACGGTTTGGCAGGGCAAATGGAGATATTTGCTGAGGGCATCACATTTTAAATGACTGCTTCATCATTTTTTTTTTCATCAAAGACATTTTGCTCTTTGGTCTTTATAATAAAATGATATACATTATATTACAATAAAATTTAATACACCATCATAATGTTAAGAGCCTTGGAACTCAGGACACATAACTTCATATTCTTTCACACACACACACACACACACACACGGAAAGTGTGTATTTTACATAAAGTTTTAAAAAAATGTTCTTCTCAATTGTAGCACTTTTTTTTTTTACTTAAACACAGATCACAGACACAGTGTAGACTCACTTGATTCAATAATATATAGGGCTGTTAAATACTTAAATACGATTTATAAATACGACCCCAATTCCAAAAAAGTCGGGATGCTCTTTAAATTGTAAATAAATGTAAATAAAAACAGAATGCAATGATTTACAGATTTATTCACAATAGAACATAGAACACATATCGGATATTGAAAGTGAGACATTTTACCATTTCATGAAAAATACTGACTCATTTAGAACTTGATGGCAGCAACGCATTTTAAAAAAGTTGGGACAGGGCCGTGTCCACCATTATATATATATATATATATATATATATATATATATATATATATATATATATATATATATATATATATATCAAAAAAGTATACACATATCATATGCATATACATATATATGTATTACAGTTTCGGTTCAGGTGAACAGTTTTCCATTTTGCTTTTGATCGCTCTCCTGCAAACACTGTGCAGCATAGTCCGCTGAAAGTGCCAAAGAGTGTTACAATTGCAGATTCTATTATAGCAACATACGTGGCTGAGCAGCTGGGCTTCAGCCTGCACTGCCAGAAATGCATTTAAAAATAAGGGACATTAGTACTTTATCACATTAACACTGTATTAATATGTTAACTTACGAAGCCCTAATACATATTAAATATGAAAAATATATTTAATAAGAGAAAAGCAAAGAATTTGCTTTAGAGTTCCTCAATAAAAATAAGATATCTAACCATGACGTGACAAAACACATCAGTGAACGCTTGACACAGTCGTTACACAGTCATGAGGAACTGAGACTGGCTAGTGTGTTCATATCTCACACAGCAGAAAGGTGTAATTTCCTCCCACTTCCTACTGGACAGACTAAAATACACTGCACAAATTCTTTTGCTGAAAATTGGCTCAAAATCTTATTAGCTTAAAAGGCCTGCAAATTTGACAAAAGTATGGAGTTACACTGTTAGGGGTGTAACTTAGACAGCAGAGTAGAGCATACAGATAAACAGCGTGTATGATGAGAGGGAACTAGCCATTTTGGTATTAAACTCTGCCTTTTATATTTCTTTTTGACGTTGTCCTGGCTAGCCACTGGCTGTGTAACTCTCCACAAGCTCAGGTTAACCACCAAAACCCAGCATTTCCTTTAGATGCTGAAGGCTTGAGCCTTTGTGGCTTCAGCCCTTTTTCAGATACCTCACATACTGAGAAAAACCCAAACCATCCGCGGCCTCGGTGATGCCGTTCTCAAACACATTCCAATCCTCTGCAAAAGCTCTGCCTTGCTTTTCTTTTTTTTTAATTCTCCCATTTCTTTCACTCAGTTCTCGGCATGTGTCTGATGACAAAACAAGAGAACTCAGAGGAACACCCCAGAAACATCAGACATGGCTTCGCTTGAATGGCAGGCAGGACTTCGAAAATACTCGTAAAGAGACGACTTCAAAACCAGCAGCAGCACAAGAACTCGCACGCGGGTTCGGAAAAATAGGTCACGTTGTAAGTGAGCCTTCAACCTCTTGCGGAGACCGTGAGCAATCACAGAGTTATTCAGAGGAACAGTGGATTTCATGCACATATACTGCACTCACTCTGTGTGATTTCACTACAAGCCTGAAACTTTTAGATGTTATTCTGCTCAATCCTTAAAAGTCTAATGTTATTATTGCTCTTTTGGTATATTTGATTCGCATTACATAGGTTTATATGTAACTACATAATCACACAGTTTCATATTAAGCCCTTAAAATCCCAGGTTTATTACATACTAAGGCTTGTTATTCAGTAACTACAGGGATGCCAATGCAAACCGATTCTTCTTAGGTTACAGAAGTGTATAGTAAAACTCTGGTCCCGCCGGCAGGCCCTGGCCATGTAAGAGGTTAAATTAAATTCCACTTATATCCACTTACAGCACAGGGTCTACAGTTCTCAAATTTTTCTGTTTGTTTCAAAGTCAACAAATGACAAAATCTGGTAAACGTGTGCAGAATGAAAAGCCTGGATGGTTTTTGATTCTGCAAAACAAAACTGTACAAACAACAATGACTTCACCAAATTAAAATCATAATAAAATTACGCTTCTACTTACAAACATAAACGTGGTATCAATTAAAAGCTTTGAGTCTGCACTTGAACAACGAGTTGTGAGATAGAAATCATTAAAGTGCCCCTAAAGCCATCATTTAAAACAAAAAAAGCTATGTTGAATAATAATATGTTAAATATTTTTATGTATTTATTGTTACTATTTTTTTGTATTTATGAATTTATTGTTATTGTAAGAAACTACAAAAAAAAAAGGTTTTGGCCTCCCTAAACCTCAACACTCGTTAAGAATATGATGATCTATGAAATTGCACAATTAAGGCAACCTTGACTCCCATTTTCTAAATCCCACCCCTTCCCCCACCACCCTGCACATGAGGATGAGCAAAAACAAGGCTCTCACTGTAACTTTAATCATCAGAAAGATTCTGTCTTTGTTACTGCATTTCACTCACTCAGGTTTGAGTCTTTGGGTGCTTTCACATCTACCTTGTTTGGTACCAAAATCTGGTCCAGCCAAAAGAGGTGGTCTCAGTCCGGATCAAACTGAACCACGGTTCTTTTTTGTAAGTGGTTCGGACTCTCGGTGCAATTACAGGAAGTTGAGGCATGTTATCGTCACCCATCAAACAACAGAAGAAGAAAAAGTGCCAGGAGAGAAATAAAAATGAGCCACGGTAGCACACGAGGAGAGTAGAAGGTGAAATATTTAATTGTAATTTGGTCCGAACAAAAACTCAAGTCAAGTCGAGTCAAAGTTTATTTATATAGCGCTTTTTACAACAGGTGTTGTCACAGAGCAGCTTTACAGAAAAATCCGGGTCTGAGGCCCCATGAGCTACAGTGGCAAGCTACAGTGGCGACAGTGGCAAGGAAAAACTCCCTAAGAGCAAGAGGAAGAAACCTTCAGAGGAACCAAGACTCAAAAGGGGAATCCATCCTCCTCTCGTCAAAACCGGATAGCAAACAGCATTAGTATAAAATATTATACTACAAAACGGGGAAAACAGGCGGAGCAATGGTTAATTAGATTAGTTTTAGTTTATGCAGCAGCAGCATCAGTTCATGAGGGTGAGGTTTGCACAGCGTTGTACAGCAAAGTCAAGTCAAAATGTATAAAAATGTAGAAACTTGCACCTTATTTTCTGAGAGGGTGAGAGAGAGAGAGAGAGAGAGAGAGAGAGAGAGAGAGAGAGAGAGAGAGAGAGAGAGCCCAAGGTAACAT